GCTGCAGGGATTCTTTACCTCAAATCACTGTTGGTATTCTTGAAAATACTTCACTAACCAAAGAAACTACAGAAAATCATATTTTGTTTCCAGCAGGCTTTCACGTGGTGGGTTGTGTGGTGTGCAACAGCTTCCAACAAATGGAAAATCCAGGAGAAGCCAACATCGTGGATTTATCATGATTTATCCATCTGTTGTATGGGATTTCAAACTGGTTACTAGTCTTTGGTTACTGCTAAAAATATATGGTACATTGGAAGTGCACTGACAAGAAAGCAGAGTTTTGCAAGTGAATGATTATTTTGCTTTAAAATTTAACTCCTTCTTTTTCAGGAGCTGTGCTAACAACAACATTCCTGCCTCAAATTACAGCAAAACCATGTGCCAGTGGGTGCCAGTAATCTATGGAATGACAGAGCTGATCACTTCATGGATACGGCCTAGTTTGTATTAATTTTTAATAGTAGATAAACAAGGAAATTTTTTTATCAGGGTGTCATGTAAGCATTGATGCCACACAGAAATTAAGAAAAAATGGTCTTTTGTACAACCTCAAAACTGAACAAAGTAATAACTACACTGCCAGTACTATTAAAAAAAAAAAAACAAACCCAAACCCCATTTTAGATCAATTTTAGATCAACTGCAATAAAGCAGCAGTTGGACAACTGCTGGGTTTGGGGTTCCATATCCCACAAATGCAAACATCTGGTCCTTGTCAGGCACTGATATCCATGCTGGCTGATTTTGGCAATGATTGCTCTAGAGAAGATCTTGATGCAGGCATTAAGGTCTGTGCAAGTGGCATGGTGAGATATATGAGCCTAAATGACCAAACTGAAGTTTAAATAAAAACAGGCATTGGCTTTTTTGTCCTATGTGCTGCCCTGGGTAGGAAAATAAAGCCATTCCTATATATTCACTAATCCCTGAGATGTATTCTCCCAGTTTTCCTTCTTTATTCAATCAAACCAATTACATTCCAGGAATTTGATTTTTACAAATTGTTGCTGTAAAGGCACTGTGGACTAAACAATACAAAAGAAGAAAACTGAGGAAAGAAGTTTGTTTTTTTTCTGGCCATATGCTGGCATATAAACAATAAAAGTGACAAAGACACAAATATGCCACAATGGAAAACTATGTGCAGATCCCACGCAGTAAATTGAAAAAGCAACATGCTGCATGGTTCTGTTTAACAATAGTGCAAAAATAACTGTAGGAAACTCTGGCTAAGGCGGCCCACAGACAGTTTTGGAAGGGAGGCATCAATTGACAAACTACAAGTAGAACAAATGAATTATCTTAAGCCTACTGAAAACAGGAAACCAAGGACACTTCTATTTTCAAATGACATTTATTATCACTCCACCCCCTCCCCTTTTTAAGCAGAAAACAAAGCTAAATTTAACCAAAACTTTTTCAAGAAGCACAATCATTTTCTTATGTTCCCATTTGCTGGAAGTATCAAGAGAATCTGTAAGCAAAGATTTTTTTTTTTTCCCATCTAAGCCACTTTTTCCAATTGAATCCCCATGAAAAGAAACAATGACCCACTGCACAAAGCAAGAGAACTACTGAAACTTGGTCTTCCATGATCACTTTTTGCTCTGCCACACCACCTCATGCCCCTCATTGTGCAAAGGACAGCAGTGAATGCTGTGGTGTGTCCCACTGCTGCTGCCAACAGAGGGAAATGGCATCAAATGAGCCCTGTCCATGTTTTTCTCACTGAGGTATCCCCATCCCATATCCAGACACCAGTAATTATGCAACTCATAAAACATAATGACTTTGAGACGTTGCTCTGCTCTGCAAACAGGTTTAGAAATGCCAAAGTCACTGCAGGGAGAAGAGGAACAGACCACAGGCTGAACTTCACGTCCTCAGAAAGCTGGGCTGGGTGTGAGGTACACTCAGGAACAGAGCAGATGAATGCCTTCAGAGGAGGCTGCAATATTGCCCTGAATTTTGTTTTGGAAAACAAAACTGAACTGACAGTGACAGGGAAAAAAACCTACCAAACAAAACAAAAGTTAAAAGTTCTAACCTTGATCTGCCTCAAGTCTGGGAGAAACTGGATGAGCTCTGCTCATCCACTAGGGAAAGGCACAGTCCCCAGACCTCAGGGAGAATCATTTTTAGAGAGAATCAATTGCATCACAGTCACAAGAATCAACAAGTGTACTTATAGATATAGTGAACAGGGATTCTGATTTTCACAAAAGCTGTACTTCACATTTCCATATTCCTCCAATGTATTTCAGTCAAGATATTGTCCAGCTGCCTCATATTTCAACAGGACAGGAATAATCAAGTCAGACATGTACCAGAGTCACTGGAGTGGAGAGAGACTGTTGTCTAAGGTCTTCTCTGAAGAGCAATCAACCTTATTTTTTTCTCTCTCATTTTGCCATTCCTATTGTGTCAAATAAAAACAACCAACCACCAAACCCAAGAGAGAAGTCTCACTCGGTTTGCTCCAGTGCTGCCAGGAGAAGCACAATTCCCAAGGCACCCTTCTGCCCTGAATGTTCCCATGAACCTGGTGTGCGCTCCTTTCTCCAGGAAAGGCAGGTGCATTATTGCCAACACCCAGGAGTGTGGCAGTGCCACCATGCACATCCACAACCACAAGGTACTGATGAATTTTAGTACCCTCTAAACACCCTCATCTGCTCACTTATTTTAAAATATTGCCATGTGACAATGGAATAGGTCACACAGCCAAAATACTATATGAAAAACAGAATGAGAAAGCATTCCAGTGTATATTCCAGACCACTTTAGATCCTAAACTTACTGATCTAAACACAGTGCTCTTGTATCCCCTCTGAACTCTGACACAAAGCTTTGCTGTGGCATCAAACAAGAAACCCAACACGTTGTCTGCATCTGCCTAAACAATGCTGGAATTTATTCATTGCTTTAAAAATACCACAGGTAATAATCCTTTATCCACAAATATCACGAGTTTAGGGAAAGAGCTTGTTTCAGCCACTTTGTCAGAGGCATGAAATAGGCAATATCATGCAAGATGAGAAATCTGAAAGGAGTATTTAATGCAGAATGGAAAAACTGCTGTTGTCTAACATAAAAAGGTCCAACGTAGTCATGCTTTAATATTTCCCAAAAGCTAATCATGTTATTCTGAGAACACCTCCATCATCATCCCCTCCCAGTCAAAAACTAATTTCATTTTTTGCGATGTCACAAGAAAAGAAACAGCCTCAGTATGGAATATGCAAAATATAAACTTGGTAAATTCTGAAAGACATTCCTCTCATCATCTACCTGATTTAAAACCAGTTTCTTTAAAAACATTTAGCTAAGCCTTTACTCACACTATTAAAAACTCAGGTCTGAATTGGACACAGAGAAGGTTTGGGTCATCCTGCCTGTCCACCTCTGAGACCAAAAGGGACAATTGTTCACAGTGATAAGAACTTCACAGGTATTTTGAGGGTGACTGGATTGCAGCAAAATCCAGTGCAGGACATCTGTTCTCTGAACCTCACACCTCATCAGGGCAGCTTCTTATTTGCTTGTTTCTGCCCCCCCTGCGACATTCTAAGTTGCAGTCACATTTTGTAAGCACAATGAAGCATCTTCAAAAGTTAATTACAGCTGTGCTGGGCCTCTTCAGCAGAGGCAAAAAGGGAAATGTTCTGTTTCATGGTGGTTTTGAATCAAGTCTTGTCCTTAGCAAGTGTCCAGAGCAGAGAGATGCAAAAGTCTCTCTTAAGACATTTCAGTGAGAGCAGGCAGGTTTTGTAGATAGCCTCCAAAACCCATTGGGAGGAGGTCAGAATTTTCCTTTGGAGACCCTTGTCTCCCTTTATTGACTGCAGAGGAAACCCAGCACAACTCATCTCCTATTTAGGTCTTTGAACAAGGACCTAAAGCCAAGAAGACTGGTCAAGATCCTGCAGGAAAAGCCACAAAACAGGAGCAGGACTCTGGCAGCCCTCCCACATGAGCTGGAGCTCAGTACTTGTGCTGCCTTCAATTCCATGTGTATGAAAAAGGATAAAGTCCCTGCCCCAACTCACAAGGGCGCAATAAACACATGAATGATTATTATGCCCCCTGAAAATATGGTAATGAAGGTTGCAAGCATGAGCACCACCATCAGAAATGTTTCTGTGCATTGAGTTCCACTTACCAGCTCTCTCTGTTGTGCAGAACTTCCTTGGGCAGGGATCCTGTGGCAGAACCTGGAGTGACCCTTGGCCTGTGCCCACCAGAAGCTTTGGAGCATTTGTAAGTAAGGGCTGGGCTGGTGCCCCTCCAGGGGCACGGATGTGACTCTGCTTGGGAGGATGGTGGCAGATGCTCCTGGTTTATTTCTTTAATTACGTTCACATGCTCTGTGATTTCCCAGAGTCCCCTCAACTGCTAAATTCCATTACCACCTCCATTGCCTGACCAGGCCCCTTGGCACAGCAAATACAACTTCCAAAGAGGACCCAAGGGACACCAACCCCAGAGTGCAAAAGTCTTTGGTGATGACCCTGCAGTGTCCCCTGCTCAGCTGCAGCAGATCAGCACAAGCAGAAAGGCAAAGCCTCTCTCCAGCCCCAGGAAACAATTCCTTAAAAGCCTTACAAGGTGACATTTTCCACCTCTTTCCCTGCACCATGTCACATAAGGGAGGATGCTGTACCCCATGGCACCACTCTTCCTCATCAAGCATTTAACAGCAAAAATATTGTCATTTAAATTCTTGAAAAATTATAATTTTAGTTAACTCTCAGATAGAGCAGGGAGTTAGAACAGGTCCTCCTTCTCAAGAATCCTTTCTCTGATTTGAGGTTGAAGGTGAAATCAGTTTCAGCTGGGAAACTGAGAAAAAGAAGGAAAATGGCAACTATTGGACTAATCCTTACTCAGGACTAAAAAATCAGGCGCATAAATTTGGTGAAAAACAACTGGTTTACAGTTAAAAGCACAAACAGAGGAAATCTTGACTGGGGGCAAAACAATAATGTCAACATTACCTTAGAAATGCCTCAGCTCAGTCCTTCAGTCCCAAGATTCTTCAAAGCAGCTGGTTCAGGCACTGGAAATTACAATAATAATAAAAATATAATTAAGACGGAAAATATTATTATAATAATTCTGGAAGATCTTATTAAAAGAGCTAATAAAAGATGATTTTCTCCTTCCTGCAGCCCCACACCTGCTCAAGAAAAGCGGAGAGAGCTGCAGGAGGGACACCTGGACATTTGGAGAGCCCTGAACACAGCAGCAGAGGGGCATGGTTGGCTCACCAAGAGATAATTGCTTCTTCCCTCTCCTCCCTAAATGTGATAAAATAGAAATTATTTAAAAATTAGAGGCATTTAGAGTAACAGCCCTCCAAATGCACAGTATTTATTCCTTCTTCCATTGCCCACGGTTTATAGCATTGTCTGGCTTTGGGTGTGCTTTGCTATTTTTTTCCCTCCTCAGTTTACTCAGTATAAGGCTCGCACTGATCTCATCAATAAGAAATGAATTTTGGTAACTTTCAAAACCACTATATTATTTTTCCTTTTATTTGTAGTGAGTTTTTCTTCTCTCAGTGGTATTACTGCAATAAGTCAGTCATTATTTCTTTATGTTTTCCCTCCTTTCTTTAGTATTTCATTTCCCTTTACAGCACATCTCGTGATCACAAAGAAAACAGAGACACTTATTTCTTTTAACAGTTGAAATTGCTGCAAGTGATTTAACTGTCATTTAATCTGATTCCTCTCTTCTGTCTGTGGAGAAATATGTTTAATGTACTGGAAATTATGTTAATAAGAAAAAGCATTATCTCATTTAATGAAATAAATATACAAATATTTCAAAATAAAATAAAGAGGCAATCTTCACTGAGGAAAAAATGTCTCTTATGGTTTGCATAAAATAAACAAATGAGAAAAATTAATGAATACATTGAAATATACTGACAAAAATTATGCCTAAACTCAAAAGGGAAAAAAAAAGAGAAGGTGACTGAATTGCATCTCACCTAATCAGATGCTTTTTGAGACAACACACAAGGAAGCTCAAAGGATCACAGTACAAATTATTTTTTTAAATTATGTTCTTACCCTAGGCTAAACTTTTCTCCCCTCCTTTTAAAATCCCTCCATTCTCCTGCCTTTTTTTTTTGTTGTTGCTTTATTTTCTTCAATTGCCATCAAAATAATATTTATTGTTTAATGATTGCAATTGCTTCATCCTTTAATTATCTTTGATCCTGTGCCACAAAACATATTTAATTTATGGCAAAGAACTTTGAGCCCCTCTGATTTAGTTAATTGTAACAATCAATAACTCTGTTTCTAAGCTTTTCCATTCTGAAGGATGTAACTAGCATGCACTAAGGTTAAACAAATATTGTTAGTGGGGAGAGAAAAACTTGTAGCAATTATGTAATAAAAGCATGACCACTGCAACAGAAACACATAATTAGCGATTTAATTACAGACATCAAAACAAACCAAAGATGTCAATAAAAAAAAAATCTCCTGTGACAAACTGATTTCATTTCCCTGTTCTGCAATTCTAGATCTTCATGAATTTCTTTCTGTTTTCTTGTTTTCCAGAAATGAAGAGCTCAAAACCCAAAGAAGAGAGTCGGTGCCATCCGTTTGGGTGTGATTGTGGTAGGAATTTGATGAAATCCTGGGATTCCTTTCTCACTGGCAGAATCAGTGCCTTCACTGCATCCCACAGGGGATTTTTTTAACTCCCCTTTCAAAGGGCCCAGCAGTGCTGAGTGTGCCGTGGTGCCAATTCCTTTGGGGAGCTGCAGTCACTTGTGTCACGAACCTTCTCAAGGCATTTTCTAAGTGCACAGTTTCTGTCTCTGCTTCCCCACTCCTCACAAAGTGCTGTGGATCATAACAGCTCCGGCTCAGCCACTTCTGCTACCCAGAATAACCAGCCAGAGTGTGATGTGGAGAGATCTCAAGTGGCTTTCTCACTTGAAATCCAGAGTTTTACTTTCCTACAGGTTTTCTTTCAGTTTATGGGAGGACAGAAGTTGTGCAGTGAATTATTTGGGTCAGTATTAAACAGGTCACCTTTTCATTTTTAAAAAGTACCTACAAATCCTTACAGTGAAATTCTAAACCTACTGAAGTCAGGAACAAAACTCGCAGCAGCTTCAGTGGGGATTTCAACCTGTGCTTCCTGAAACACGCAAGGGGCACAGCACAAATCCAGATTCAGCACTCCTGACAGAAATCTTCCATCTTGAGGGCCTGCACCTGATTCATCTGGACTGGAGGCTTAAGCTGCTTTTAACCATTTCATGAGATGCAAAACAAATCCTAGAAAATGGTTGCTTTCAAGTGTAGCTTATCGTTCATGTAAAATAATAATCCATTTAAATAAATTTAGAATCACTATTTTCTATACACACATATAAAAAACCCAGACTCTGTGCAAACAGCAGAATTTGTTTTTAATTATGTACTTTCGCTTTCTGCTGAATTTCACTTCTACAGAAAACATTCCCTACAGTTTTTGTGATCAGGGTTTACAGAAATATTCAGGAGAGAATAACCCATCACAGTCACAGCTTTATATTTCTAATTCAAGGTTTACCAGCATTTAAAAACAAAAAGCTAAACCCCATTGTAGTTCTATTATAACTAGAGTGAAGAGTGGTCGGCAGTACAAATGACTTAGGAAATTATTCTCCTGCTGGGAAAAAATACACAATAAATACTGTTAACATGCAGAAATGGCTCCAAAGTGCTCTGGGTTGGACCCACGAATGTGGCTCCAGCCTCCAAAGCCCTCTGGGTTCGACCCAAAAATGTAGCTCCAGGTTATACCCATAAAGCCAAGTCAAAAAATTATCATAATCTGATATATTCCTCTTGCAACAATACTTAAGGGAGCTGGATCAAAAGAGTGGAAGCATTGACATTTTTTATTTCAATGTCTTTTGAGTGATCAAAATACTATTGACGTGAACAAACCATCCTGTCAAGTTACACAGAAAGAACCCCAAAATCTCTTTTAAAAAACGTGTCTGTTTTTAAACTTGCATCTAAAAAAAAATCTGTAAGCTTTGCCTGACACAAACCTGAAAGTTTTCCCATTCAAGATCTTGAAAGACAGACATCCTTTTTTCAAAGGATACTCGTACAGCAAAAGCTTAATGTTTTTAAGCAAAATTGAGTAAATCAAAGTTCCTAAAAGCAACACCTTCTTTTGTCTTCTTTTTTCCTAACACCTTTGTCTATTTTCCAATTTCTTATCCTATTCTTGACAGTAAAAAAATGACGGAAGGAGACAGCAAAGTGACTTAAGGTGGTATTCAGCAATACATTTGACTCCAAGGAATTTTTTTTTCACTGAACACTCAGTATCTTGAATACACTCAGTATCCTGAATTTCAGCCATCTTGCACATTTAGCTTTTCTTGTTTCAAGGCTAAATCTGGATGAAATCCAACCCAGGACTTCTTCCCTACATGTGCAGAGGAGAACTACAAATAGAGCCCTTTTCTACCCTGTGCTGTGAATAAAAATAAAATCCCTTCTCTGTGGGTACATCTTCCGCCATATTTTGGGATCCATAAATTTGTCAAGAAAAAGGATGGCACAGGTAGATCCTCACAAGCACTTCTCCAACTCAGCTCATCTTCCAGACCATCACAGGCTCTAGAAGACATGGATGCCATGAGCAATGTCCATGTGGGATCTGCAAAGAAATGAGCTCCTGCTCCTCAGCCATCCTGAGGGAGCACTTCCCACTGCACAGCCTCTGCAGAAATTCACTGATCCCACTGAAATCTATGGCCGGGGCCACACAGATTCAATGCCTGTTGCCAGAGGCAAAAGGGAAGCTGCTGGTGCATCTTCCAGACCTTTTGGCTGCCATGGATTGAAGACATTCCTGCATCACCCTCTGCAGCATCACTGTGGAGGCTGAAAGCTGAAAGGAAAAGCTAATAGTGTCTTATGTACTTCTGAAGTTCCTCCTGCCTCTTTCATGTCATTCCTTTAGACTATTATCAGTCTTTTTAAACATATTTAATTTATTTGATTTTTGCATTTTCTCCCTCTGTTCCTTTAATGAAAGGAATTAATTTATATACCTTTGAAGAGCTCTTTGCTTTCCCACAATGCAATTGGCCGTTTTTGCCTCAAAATGGGAATCAGACTTCACCACAGTGCACAAAAAATGAATCTAGAAAAATCAAGTAGGTGCTTGAAACCACAAAATGGAAATGCATCTCTTTGAGCAGAAATGCAGAATTTCAATGCCAAACAGTGAATGGATGCACCTCTTCCCCCAACCCTTTTATTTGGTTTTGTGTTTGTATTTCTTGAAGCGCGTATTTTTGCAAACTACATTGTATGACTTCCATCTACTCCACAGGAACACATCACTAACCCAGCAATACTGAAACACTGAAAATATACTGGAAATATCTGAACTACAGAGAATTTAGAAACAGGAGGAAGAGTAAACATATGTGGTGCCTTAGCTTTGCAGGCCCATTTTGGTTTTGTTATGTAGACTGCAAATATTGCTCCAGTAAATTTACATCAAAGACAGCATTTTTAACCAACTCCACAGAACTAAGGGAGGAAGCTGTGCCAAGTACTTTATTTTTAAATTCTTACCCTTGTTTGTCAACAGTGACAATTGATCGCAGACATCTCAAAGCCTCCAGCATTCTTGATATTGATTTTGAAGAGATCTTGATACCTGACTATCAAACTTCTACAAGAAGCATTCTCAAAGATTTGAGAGTGAAAGCAAATTAAACCGGCTGAAAGCCTTCAACCACTTGAGACCACTGGCAAAACTATGGCCTCTATGAGCAAGCTATTTGTTATTTGCTGCAGAATTCCACACTGATTTATTAAATAGTGACAACTTCAGCACAAGCCATGATACACCTCTACAAAGACGTAAATGAATAAATATTGGGGGTTCCCCTTAGAGTGAGGCTTTGTGCTTTCATGTTCTCCATGGAAGCTGCTTGTGGTCACATTGAAATTACTGGGGACTTCACACTTCATCCTTCAAACTTCTGGGTTTGTCTTGCAGCAGTTGCAAGGGC